AGTATAAAAAATATTTGCCAAAACTTTTTAAAGAAATGGCAAAGTAGGAAAAATTTACAGCATTGCATTCTTTGATATTTTTTAAACCTTTGCAAATCGATTTAAATCTCAAAAAGATATGCTATGCGTAGACAAAAGAATGTACTTTAATTTAATATAAAAATCATTAAAATCCATTCGCAAAAAGTATGAAAAATATTTACCGAAACCTTTTAAAGAAATTGCAAAAATGCACAATTTACAGCATTGCATTCTCTGACATTTCCTGAACTTTGCATGCTAAATTTATAACTCAATATGGTATTCTACGCGTAGACAAAAGAATGCACTTTAATTTAATATAAAAATCATTAAAATCCATTTGCAAAAAGTATAAAAAATATTTACCGAAACCTTTTAAAGAAATTGCAAAAATGCACAATTTACAGCATTGCATTCTCTGACATTTCCTGAACTTTACATGCTAAACTTATAACTTAAAATAGTATTCTGCGCGTGCAGAAAAGAGTGCACTTTTTTTTAATATAAGTTTCATTAAAATCTATTCACTTTTAGTATAAAAAATATTTACCGAAACTTTTCAAAGATATTGCAAAGATGCACAATTAACAGCATTGCATTCTCTGACATTTTCTGAACTTTACATGCTAAATTTATAACTCGATATGGTATTCTACGCGTAGCCAAAGGTTGTACTTTAATTTAATATAAGTTTCATTAAAATCTATTGACTTTTAGTATAAAAAATTGAAGAATTTTTCAATTTCTGACTTCGTCGGAAGGCTCTTTGCATTCATAGTAATACCGTAGAATTACTAGCAATGACTGATTTCCGCCTTTGACGGTAACATATATACATATATGAAAAGATAATCAAATGTGTTAATATTAATAAAAATATTGTCTATGCATGAGATAAGCTTTGATTAATGTATAATAATGAAAATAATAAGTACGAATAAATGATATTACCGTATATTGAAATCGTCTTTTCTATGGGATATTTAATTGCTCCGTTGTATTCCATTTTCCATGGTTAACTGAAAATATAAAAGAAAAATGGGAGAAAAATGAAGAACATAAGTTACATTCATTTATGCAAATTAATTAAATAAACAAATTAAATAAGATCAATTTAAATATGTAATGTGCTATTTCAAGCTCATTTTAAAATATCGCATTGAAATACGTGGTCACGTAATTGAATACAATTATATTTTATGTTAAATTTAAAAGAAAAAACATTTATATACAAACAACAATTATTTTTCTACAAATCTAATAATAACGTATAAACAATTTTGAGAACAAACAAAATTCAACAAAAAGTACAATAACCTTTAGATATTATTCGCGTTAGCACTTTGAATTATGCTTTATTTTTCCTTGGATACTTTAAAAAAAAAAAGAAAAAAAAAAAAACAGAAACAAAAAAAAGGATAAAATTTGTGATGCATTTAAAAAAAAAAAAATGTCTTTTATCAAACGCAAAAGAACAACATTCTTCATCCCCTCCTCTTCCCCTATCTTCCTTCACCGTCAAGAGTCTCAGTAAATTTAGTAGGTTTCTCGTTCAAACTAACATAAATCAATATATCGATCCTTTTTTTATTATTATTATTACTCGTAACAAAAAAAAAAGAAGGTATACACTCGTTCTCGATGGGGTTTACGCAGAATTTACTGGAAAAATGCTGATAAGGAAACTCGTTACGTGTTTTTTTTTTATTTTTTTTTTTTTTTGCTTTCCACCTTTTTTTCATTTTCGTTTTTCCAAATTGAAATTAAATATTTTCTTTTTTTTTCGGACAGATCGATAACGAGAAATTATATAATATAAAAACCACACAAGAAAAGAAAAAAGAGAAAGAAGAAAAAAAAAAAAAAAGAAAAAAAAAAGCAACGTGTACCTCCTTGATGATTTTGTCAAGGTAAACAATATTTTACCTTGTTCTATTTTCATCCACCTGCGGCTACGCACACGCATCACACACATCACATGCACCACACACGTGTGTTCTATTTTTTCTCGTTATTTCCAAATGAATTTTTTACGGTTACAGAAAGGGGGTTGGGTGGTGGTGGTTTAAAACAAACAAAACCGTATTTGTCCTTATTGGAAATTCTAATTTCGTTTCTTATTATTCTTTGTATCTTTTTTTTCTTTTTCTTTTATACCGTGACGAATCAATTTATTCTTTAAACGAAACAAAACCAAAAAAAATAAATAAATAAATGTTAACACACACCCCGCACCCCTCCACCCCCCCCACCATACGGTAAACGTTAATTATAATTTTGTTCCTTCTTCTTTTTCTTCTTCTTCTTCTTTCTCTCTTGTTTTTATTTGATTTTAAATTTTATTTTTCCCGATCGATTTCCGATGTATATAAAGAAAAAAAGAAAAAATGTGTACAACCCGTGATATTAATTATTTAAACAAGATCTTTCTACCAATATCGAGAAACTTCCAGTTTTTCTTTATTAAATATTAAATGCTCAGGTTTCATATATATATATACGTACACCCCATAAATCCTCCCCTGTGTTTCTTTTTGCCTTTTCTTTGCTTTCCATTTCACAATTACGGTGAACCACCGTATTTAAAATAAGCCACATTTGACACTAACCACAACCACTCGGTTCTTTACTTTTTATTTCTTTTTTTTAATCTTTTAACTTTTCGAAACCTTTTGTCTTGCTTCCTACGAACAAAAGAAAAAAAAAATAAATAGCTTAGTTTAGTTTGGCAAAATTGAAAACAAAAAAACCATTAATAAAATTAATATTCTCATTTTATCATCGGAAAATATATTTTTTTCGTTTTATTGAAATTTCGCAAATTGAAATTGCGAACGATAAATAAATAAAATGTAAAAAATATACGATTTATTCAAACAAACAAAAAAAATATTTATATATTTTATATAAATAATATTTTATATATTAATTATAAATTCTTGATGAAGACTATTTTTAATCCATCATCACATCGGAAAGTACTGTTTCATCGTGTAAAAAAAAAATATCGTGACTGTTAGGAAACCACATAGGGATATGATAAGAATAAAGGAAATTGAACATACACATATACATACATACATACACATTCGTACTTGATGAGATAATAGATCACTATTATGTCAAGTACGTATCGTTGATGGTGCACTCACCTTCTGACACCTGTCTCACGTATCAACGTTACACTCATTGTTACCTATGCATTATATTTCTTTTTTCTTCTTCTAACATTTCGAAACGTCAAGCAAACTAATTGTAAATGCATTAATATCAAAGAAAAAACCAACAAACAAACAAACAAAACTAAACATTAATTACGGGATACCATATATGGGCGAGA